AACAGAGCAGCTGGGGCGCCTGGGTGGCTCAGCTGGTTAAGCATCCGACTTTGGCTCAAGTCGTGATCTCATGGTTTGTGAGTTCGAGCCCCGCATCCAGCTTTGCACTGACAGTGCAGAGCCTGCTTCAGATTCTCTGTCTCCTCCTCTCTCTACCCCACCCCCACTCTCTCTCTCTCTCAAAAACAAATAATAAACGTAAAAAAAAAAAAAAAAGAAAATAAACAAAGCAGCTTTTGCTAACCTTATACTTTCACACTCAGGTCAGAGAGCTTTCCAAAACAATGATGTATGAGTCTCATCTCATCCCCAACTCCTACCCTGGGAGATTCTAATACAAAAGGTCTGGGGTAAATTCTAATGTAAACAAAAAACCATTTTCTCTCATGGAGCTGAAGGTAGAGAAAGTCTTTATTACAGAACACTGCCAACTAATAAATGTAAAAATTGACAGACATAAACATAGTAATAATGTGACTGGGCAAATGGCAGCAATGGATATTAAACCCATGTTGAGAAAGACTAGAGGTCAAGACATATATTCTCAAAGTCCTACTGATTACATCTTAATCACAGGTGGAAAAGGTACCTTTACAATGCAGATATCGGACAGACGCTACCTTAGCTGTATGATCAAACAATATGACCAACAATGAGACACAATGACATCATTTGCTTCCCAGTGAGACACAGTGAAGGTACTCCTACCCAGGAAAAGTTATGACCTGAGCCTAATTACATACAGGCAATCAGTCAAATCCTAATTAGGCGACATTAACCACTAGCCTGGATTTCTCAATGCCATAAATAAGAAAACAAGTGGTGGGTAGGGGGTAGGTGACACCACATGGAACGGATGACGCAGGGACGGACTCTTCCAAAGATAAGAGGGGACTAGAGAGACAAGACAACTAACTGCAATGCCTAGTCCTTAACTGGACTCTATTGAAAACTAGTTAATAGAACGTTACTGGAGTAACTATGAAATTTAAATATGCACTGTATATTAAATAATGGTCTCAGGCTGAATTTCTTAAAAGTGATGATATTGTGCTTAATTTCAAGATGAATGCGCTTGAGGTGACAAGTTAAAAATAGTACAATGCTCCCATTAATAATTACCTCTAATTACAATGCTTGTATAACTAGGAGCACCTGAGTGGCTTGGTTAAGTGTCCGACTTCGGCTCAGGTCATGATCTCACAGTTCCTGCTTTCAAGCCTTAAGTAGGGCTCTGTGCTGACAGCTCAGAGCCTGGAGCCTGCTTCTGATTCTGGGTCTCCTCTCTCTGTCCCTCCCCCTGCTCATGCTCTCTCTCTCTCAAAAATAAATAAACATTAAAAAAATTTTTTTAGGGACACCTGGGTGGCTCAGTCCGGTTAAGCATCTGACTTCGGCTCAGGTCATGATCTCAAGGTTAATGGGTTCAAGCCCCACGTTGGGCTCTGTGCTAAGAGCTAGCTCAGAGCCTGGAGCCTGTCTTGGGATTCTGGGTCTCCCTCTCTGTCCCTCCTCTGTTTACGCTGTCTCTATCTCTCAAAAATAAACATAAAAAGAATTTTGATCTTTTTTTTAAAAAAGTTATTAAAAATATATACCAAATTTCCAAGACAGAATTATGTACCTATGTATTTATTCTTAAGAGGAGAGGCAATTGCAAGAACATATTTTTAAAACTCACAAAAGCACAGATTTCTTCCATTCTGGGGAAAAGGGTAAATTACAGAAATAGTTGTCCTTTCCCTTTTAAGTTCTCTGGATGATTCCTGACACATTCTTTGAGGTCTAAGACTAATATACAGAGATAAAGTTAGTACTAGGTTTAAATCAACAGAGAAATATCACAGTAACACATTCATCTGCAACAAACACATGCAATTTAATAACCCTAATTTATTAACAATTCCAACTAGATAGATAGATTTGTCTTTTTTCTTAGCTTTTAGTGTTTTGAGTGATACCTCCTACACCAATTCAGAGAAAATGCCCATGTGTGAAGTTGGGGATTCTATTATATCACTGCCTAGCATACATGTAGAACCAAATGCCCACTTGAATTCTGCAAAGAACGCAGGCTGCTAAAAATTGTCCACATTTTATCCCTGTAAGATGAGAACTTCCTTGTCCTGCACACAAAACCACCAAGCCCTTCAGGGTTCTCAGCAGCTTCCCTTCGGCAGTGTTTCTACCTTTACTGCTAGCAGCTTCTCCATCTCCTGATCTCACTGGCTGCTTCCAATTACATCGACTTGGTTTAGTTTTAAAATCTCAGGAAAAGCCAAGACCATGTGTTCCAGTGGGATCTTCCTTAAGTTTACTCTTGGTTCACTGACCCCTCTGTCCCATTCTTAAAACAAAATCTCTACTTGCTTAAGTCACTCAAGAGATTTAAAATCATAAAAGTCCTTTGGAAATAATGTTTTAAATACAATCTTACTTCTCTTAAAACAATCCTTATTTTCCTAAGAACACAAGAACCCATTACACAAAACTGTATCACTACACAAAATTAACTCTAAATAATATTCATTTATTTATGTATCTTAAAAATAGATGCCTAGCAATTCACTTTCGGAGTTTTTGCTACTCAAGCAGCCACAGAAGTGTAAAAGATGGATGTCCAAGAACGTTCTGTAATGTTACCACTTGTAATGTGAGAGGCTTTACTGAAAACCAGTAAAAGCCTTACCTGTAACCAGTAGAGATGGAAGCATTTAAATGACACCTCAATTTACAAATTAGAAAGCGAGGAAGTGGGGCGCCTGGGTGGCTCAGTCGGTTAACCATCCGACTTTGGCTCAGGTCATGATCTCACGGTTCGTGGGTTCGGGCCCTACGTCGGGCTCTGTGCTGACAGCCAGCTCAGAGTCTGGAGCCTGTTTCGGATTCTGTGTCTTCTTCTCTCTCTGACCCTCCCCTGCTCATGCTGTCTCTCCCTCAGAAGTAAATAAAACATTAAAAAACTTAAAAAAGAAAAAAAAAAAAAGAAAAGAAAGTGAGGGAGAGATTAAGGGATGTGCCCGAAGAGAAAGCTAGTTTAGAGCAACTAGGAGAGATATAGTTTAAATAAGAGCTTCTTCAGCAATGAGTTACTTTAAATAAACAGCTCCTTATAGCTTTTAATCAATGCTGTTTTACAAAAATGTCAGAGATATATGCACCTTAAACTCAGTAATATGACAAATTCATCTATTTATAATAAAGAAACTAGTAGGCATATTAGACCTTAAGTCCATATTCTCTCAAATTCCTATTTTAGGCTTTTACTCTCCTCTTAAACTTTTTACGTTATTGGATTCTGTAAAAACTAGTAATGTCTGACTTAAGAGTCCTGAAAGATAATACATCTGATTCAGTTTCTTCATTGTGCAGCGAGATAACAAACCCAGAGGCAAGAGGGGAGTGACCGATGGCGATACAAAGCTCAGGCAGAGCTGGGCTGGACCTGGACTCTCACCCCAGGGATCCTCCCTTACTCTCACCCCAGGGATCCTCCCTTAGTCCCTTTAGCATCAAGGTACAAACATGTCAGCTATTTCACATCACCGTTAGCTGTGATGGAAAGCTTTGGGTAACACGGGATAGATGCATTCACACTGACATGGAGTTGAAATTTTGATACCTCTATCCATAGATTAATGGGCTTTGTTATATGGTCTCTAGGACCAAATATGTTCAGGGTGGCTGGGGAGTTGCAGGGGAAGATGCAAATATCGCTGGCCATAAAAGCAGAAACACTACAAGAAGAGGCCAAAAGTGAAGAACACCTAACACAGTCAGGTGGTTCAAGACAGGCCTAGGCAATTCTCACTCATAAAGGGATAAAATATGAACAATTTCAGCAATCTGTTCTCAATACAATTCCAAGGGCATTTTACTCTATATGTAGTCTAGGCAGTATTAGTTACCATGGAACCCCCAAGCTGTTGCAGCTGGACATTTCCCTAAATTGGAATAGGAGGTACTACTTCAAGTATATATAAGAAAAGAGTCAAACAGGAAGGCAGAGATGTAAAAACAAATCCATAAGGGAAGATCCTAGAATGTTGTTATTTTTATTTCCATGACTGTCTACCTCTAATTATCACTGATAATGCAACAGAACTGTGAACTACTTTAAAAATAATTACTATCTGAGGTATCTGTTATGTTGCAATTATTTTTCTACTATCACTGGTCTATTTCTGACTTCAGAAAAAATGCAGTTTTTAAAAAATAAATATAAAAATAAGGTTCCTTTCTTAATAGTCTACCTGTTTACAAATCAAGTTGTCTAATAGTTGCACACACGCACAATAGATCCATGAGGAAAACAAGCTTGAGCTCACTGTTTAAAAAGCACACTCAGGGGCACCTGGGTGGCTCAGTCGGTTAAGCGTCTGACTTCGGCTCAGGTCATGATCTCACGGTTCATGGGTTTGAGCCTCGCATTGGGCTCTGTGCTGACAGCTCAGGCCTGGAGCCTGTCTTCAGATTCTGTGTCTCCCTTTCTCTCTGACCCTCCCCTATTCATGCTGTCTGTCTGTCTCTCTCAGAAATAAATTTTAAAAAAAGAAAGAAAAAAAGCACACTCAAAGTAGAAAACACATTTTTATTGACCTTTCAAAGCAGCTGACTTCCAGGTGAAGTTTCAGATTAAGGGAGCCTTTTAAAGTACTATCTTTCAACATTTAAAAATAACTTCTTTCCCTTTCCCTGAAGTCTCAAACTTTGCTTTTGAGATTTAAAAGGTTGGTGACAACCCTAGTACCCAAATACTTCAAAAGAGTATTTCACGTGTCCCTTCTACAAAGGGGTAGGTAAGAAGGTTCTACTGACGTGAACTGGAGAGCGTGTGTTGGCTCTCAACTGATAGATCATACAGGGCCCAGGTTTTACATTAGGATTTGTCCCAATCAGCACTGAATGTCACCCTACTAAAGGGCAACAAAGTCTAATAACTATGTCCTTCTGACTGCATCCCACTCACCTGTAAAGAAAGCCAAGGTACGTTATCTTACCTCAAACTGTGGGTAAGGAGGAGTCATAGCTGAAGGGGGCCCTGAGGTGGGAGGTGGCATCCCTGAAGTGGGTGGGAACAGACCCAAGGCATTCAGATTTAATCCAGGAATTAAATGTGCTTGAAGCTGCAACAGCAAAAAGGTCCTTCATTTTACATTTAAAACATCAAGTGTAAGTAATCATAAGTGACAGTATTCAGATTGTGACCTCTTGTTAAAAAAAAAAATCATTTTATGACTCAAATTTTAGAACAGACCAGATGTTCCATGTTGTTATACTTAAGCACCTGTTTATATTTCTTGATATTTTAAAATCTGTGTGCTCATCTTCCCCCTCCTTGATCTGAAGCTACACTAGCTTTCACAAAGCAGGGAACACACCCTCACTTTCCTTAATGACCAGCTCACAGTACTTAGACAAATATGTACTCTGTGTGCTATGGGCACACAGTAAATACAGACTGAAAACCTTGCATTAGTTGAATAAGTAAGCAAACAAGATTTGTGCACTGAAAAGCAAACCAGATATACAGAAAGAGCTATTATTAAGAGATTTTTACTCCTTGGATAAAATTTGGCTGTCATGGGTCTAAAAGTCTACAACAATGTCAAGATCTTTCAAAATCAGGTCCCATCCCATATAACTATGGCAACTAAACGTATCTTTGGAGTATCTCCAAGAGCCAGAAAGGGGACTTTGTGTTGGTTGAATTTTATAAGAGCTGAGGAAGAGAGGTGGAGATGACAGAGCTGAGACATGAGCAAATCTGAGAGTCTCTTTAAAAGGTGTATGGGTTGGATTAACTCACAACTGACTCTGAAACATGAGATGAGCAGTTATAATGGCAAGGTAGGGAAGACAGCCAGTCCTGTGGGGTAAAATGATCAGCATTTTTCTAGGTTCTTCTCACAAAGACATTATTTTTATATTTCCCTTCTTTTACATATAGTGTTTCAGATGACAGGCCTAACCGAGGAATGTTTTTCTCTTATCATTTACTTGAAAATTCAAAATGGACTACCAAAATGTTACATCTTCCACACCATGCCATCCATTCAGGAATGTCCGCAATTCACTTTAAATGCCTTCACTACACTACACACATTGTCATTTTTAATTCTTTTAATTAATAATAAATTCCAAAGTTTATGACTAACCACATTAAATTTTAAATTTGAATTAACAGTTGCTTTATATGCATGGTATCTATTATAACTCCAGTCCTAAAAAGCATTCAGTGTAGGCACAACAGCCTCATTTCACAGATGAGGAAACCAATGCCTGGAGACCAAGTAAGTTGTCCAAGAGAACACAGCTGTAGCTAACATGCAGTTGAGCTGGGACCCAAACCCAATTCACGTCTCTCTTAAGCCCACACTCCTACTCTACTAATCTTCAAATTAACATTATGCAGAAGATACTCATACATAAGGTATTAGCCTTATGTAACAGGTAAGGAAGCTAAGTCTCAAAGACTAAACCATTTGCTAAAATCAGAGAGCCACACTTAATGTCAAAGCCCGTGGTCTTCCAAACCAAGGCACACTCAATATGGTGCTAAAAATCAACTAGAAACTACATCTAATTCTGCCACCATCAACGACATCAGGATTAATGCATAAAAACTGTTCATAAAATTAAAGGGACGTCCTCCATATTAAAACTAACATTCATAGAAGCAATATCATTTTCATAAGACTCCCTGATTTTCTTCATGATCTCTTCCTCAGCTTTGGCACATGTTTCAACGTTGCCTTTAACTGTAATGGTGCGCTCTGGATTATACAGCGTCAATTCCTGCAATCTGCAGAATGAAAAAGAAGGGAGAGTAAAAGAATGGAAATTATAGGAGGAAGACAGTTAATAACAGTTCAGCCACAGATGGCAGTTAAAACCCAACTGTGGTGGCTGGCAGTACATAAAAGTGGGTGGTCAGACATGATGAAAAATGAGTAAGCCCCAAAACACATGAATCCAAGAATTATAAAGCTGCAGAAGAAAATACTTCCCCTCCCACCTTCTCAATAAAAATTAATGGGTGTACACAGTTCACTTAAGTCCATGTTTGAAACACAGTGTACTTCTTGACCACTTAAGGTGAACGTTTTTCACAAAAATTTAACAATGAAATGTAAATAAAATGATCATAGGGATGTACAGTTTTAGTGGAAGCCAAGAACCAGATGTCCATAAACTTTAATAAGGATGTTCCTAGTCTGCATGGACCAATTCTAAACATAATTGGCATGCTCATGCAATTGCGTTTTCTGGGTCACCAAGCAAGAAATAAACATGGAAATATTCCAAAGAACAAACCAGAATTCATGTGTCTAAACTTACTTTTTGCCAGGAATTTTAGAGTTTAAAGTAAGCTGGAGAAAATAACATAAATCAATGTGTCTTGACTAAATAAAAAGAAAATGGTCCCTTGATGACCATTTATACCACTACATTAGAAGGCCTCAGCAATATTCAGAAACCCCCTGCTCAACCAAGTTCCTGGCGAAGCTTCAAAATCCACTCAGATGACAATTGTGACTGCCTGAGCCCTAGTCACTCAACAGCCTTGAGAGGAAAGCAGTGGGAGATTCTTAACCATGGAAAACAAGACTAAGTACATAGACTGGAAGGATACAGAAAACTGGTACAGCTCTCCTTAATTGTAGAGTTAAAATCCTCATTTTCACTACTTAGCAGAATGCCCTAGGCTCAACTTGAGCCAGACGAATGGGTTATTATTCCTTAACCTTTCTTTTATTTCCTAAAAATGTAAACATCTACACAAGGAAGACTATTTGTCTTAGACTAAAAACAGTTTATTTCTCATCTCTGGACTCAACCCACCTCTCCCTGCCACGCATTTTATATTAGCTTTTTTCTAACAGCTCCTTTACAATAGCTTTTACGATTTTTTTTTCCTCTGAAAACCCTCACCTTTTTGGGTTTAAAATTCAAGACAGCATAGAATCATTTATTATATTTACCACTCTGTGGTTTTTTTTCTTTCTTTATAATCAAACAGGACTTCCCCATTTCCTGCCACACCCTTCTCTGAAAACTTCTTGCTACATGAACATGCTGCCTGTCTTTCCTTAGCATTCTTCCTTAGTTCATCCATCTCTCTTCACCTCATCTTTTTTTGGGTACTCTGATGTAAACTAAAAATGGTTACCCTCAGAAAGGGAAACCTTTCCATACAATTTCCGAGCATTCATAGACCCAAGGTGTGACAGCCAGCTTCCAAGATGACCTATTCCTTAGTGGGCCCATCGTCTCCAACCCTGAATAGAGCTGACTTGTGTCAATTATACTAGAAAACCTATACAGTGTGGCTTCTGAGGCTGTGTTATAAAAGACATTGTCACTTCCGTCTTGCTCCTCTTAGATAATCCACTCTGGGGGAAGATAGCTACCATGTCTGAAAGATACCCAAGCAGCCCTAAGAGGGGGCCATATGCTAAGTCCTCAGATAAACAGTCAGCATGGACTTGTCAGCAACATCAAGAGACCCCAAGCCAGAAACACCCAGTTAAGCTGCTCCTGAATTCCTGACCCACAGAAACTAGGTGAGCGACAAATGTTTACTATTGTCTCAAGCTGGTCAACTGTTGGGATAATTTGTTACACAGCAATGAACAATAAATTGGGTTTCAATTCTGGGAATAGGGATCAATAAATCTGACCAAGACCTCAGCTAGAAAATATGAATGTAAAGTATTTAGTGCTTTCTGCTTCTTTAGGAGGAACAGATCACACTTTCAGCATGGGTTAGACACAGATAGAAGGTAGCAGATTAAGCTAGAGAAACAAAATGTAACATGGTGGAATACAGGCTAGCTCAAACTCCTGTAAGAGGACAGAGGCTCTGTGTAATATATAACCTACAGCTTCACATTGCTGGAACAATTTCTAACTCAAAGAAAGCAAGGAAACACTTACGGAGAGATCGTGATTTTAGTGTCAGTGTCTTGCTCAATTTTTTTAAGATTTCTTCCTTCCTTACCAATAAGACGGCCTACAAAGTTATTATGGGCTAAAATCTTCAAGGGAATCTCTTCTGTGCTATAAATAAAAAAAGAAAAATGTCATGCAATCAGGATAAGTATACCTTCTTTTGGGTAAAAAGACAATATCCATTCATTACACATTTACTTCCTACCTACCATATAGGAAGCATTATGCTAGAAGGAGTTTAAAGTTCACTGACCTACATTCTAGGAATGCATGAACAGAGGGGACAAAAAAAACAGTAACAAGTATTTGAAGTTAATTTTTAAAACCATTTTCTTTTATGCATCTCAGGGAATATCTTCCAAGTTAGATTCTGTTAGCTCACTGAAAACACTTCTTACTCAAACCCACATCCCTAAATCCCCAATACCAGAACAAAATGTACAAATGCAAAATAGGAGGATTTTTAAAAAATATTCTTAACTACATTCCTAGAGATACATGCACAATTTAAAAAAGTAACAGAAGAAACTCAACAGTGATTACTCTTTAGGAAAAGAGTGTAAGGGCAGGAAGGGGGGCTTTCACTTTTTATTGAGTACCTTTCTGAATTTCCAAGTGATACCTATCACTGTTGAAAAATATCACATTATCAGGAGGGTGAGCCTTTCAAACATTTTTTTCTATTCTGAAAAAGAATTATGGGGGCGCCTGGGTGGCTTAGTCGGTTAAGCGTCCGACTTTCGCTTAGGTCATGATCTCGTGATTCGTGGGTTCGAGCCCCGCGTCGGGCTCTGTGCTGACTGCCAGCTCAGAGCCTGGAGCCTGTTTCAGTCTGTGACTCCCTCTCTCTCTGACCCTCCCCTGCTCGCGCTGCCTCTCTCTCTCTCTCCTAGAAATAAATAAAAAAAAACATTAAAAAAAAAAAAAAGAAAGAATTATGATCATATAACATAGTGATATATAACATCACTAAAATACATTTAATACATGTTAAAGGTCCCTACAAATTCAGTGCTGGTGGTTAGGTCCCCAGGCTAAGTCCAGTACCTTAGTCTGCTCTCTCCTTTTAGGGAAGCACTGCACTGTAAGCTCAAGTGGCATAGAACCTAACCTCTGTTCAAAGTTCCTGTGGAACAGGCATTTAGAGTTTCAACCTCGAGCACCCAAATATATCTCCAGTTTGCCTTAGCACAGGATTAGAGATTTCTTCACTTCTTTACTCCCTACTGCTGCAGAGTAGGGCTGGGCAGATGGTAAGAACAGAGGTGCCATGGGCTCAGAGTAAAGGACTCAGGATTTGAGGCCCATTTTGAGTAAATCCCAAGGAGATTTCTTGGTTGTCAGACGGGCTTCCTATCCCGTAAGCGCCTTCTTCTACAGCTAGACTTTCCCCATTAATACCAACCACCCCATATCCAAACACGATTGAAAATAAAATATTTAAAAGACTTCTACATTACAACCAACTCAATAGTACCCACCACTGCAGCTCTTCAGGACAGCTTTGCCCTTTGTTTGTTGGCAATTCCTAAGAATTCTGTCATAGAAGTTCAAAATAAAGCAGCATGAATAACAACCTCTTCACAGCTTAATCCTCTTTACTCACAATTTTATATCTTGAGCTTCCTTATGCATAATCTCCAGAATAGATTTACAAGCTGCAGAGGTCCCTTCAGGGGTAGAGAGGATAGTAATGGACTTCTCAGCAGCACCCGCATTCTCTTTACGATGGACATCGATTCTTACAGTGAGCACAAGGAAAGAAGGAGAGCTGTAAGCATGTATTCACAATTACAGAGTCTGGAAGCACCAACTTCAAAGTCACAGAAATGCAAACTAGTGCAGCCACTCTGGAGAACAGTATGGAGGTTCCTCAAAAAACTAAAAATAGAACTACCCTATCACCCAGCAACTCTACTATTAGGTATTTACCCAAAGGACACATAAATACAGATTTAAAGGGGCACATGCACTCCAGTGTCTGTATCAGCGGTATCAACATTAGCCAATCTAAGAAGAGAACCCAAACGTCCATCAACTGATGTATGGATAAATATTCCACTGTGGAATATACACAGTAGAATATTACCCCACCACTAAAAAGAATAAAATCTTGCCATTTGCAATGACCTGGATGGAACAGGAATGTTTTATGCTAAGCGAAGTAAGTCAATCAGAGAACAACAAATACCTTATGATTTCCTTTATATGTAGAATTTAAGAAACAAACCAGATGAACATATGGGAAGGAAGCAGAGAGATAAGAGAGGGAAACAAACCTCTTAATAACAGAGGGCAAACTATGGGTGATGGCAGTGGGGGTGGGGGATGGGCTGGATGAGCGATAGGTACTCAGCAGGGCACTTGTGATGAGCACTGGGAATTGTATGTAAGTGTTCAATCCCTGAATTCTACTCCTGAAACCAATAGCGTACTGGATGTTAACTGAAGTTTAAATTAAAAAATAATTTAAAAAATCATGTTATGAAGTTACAGATACCAACGCAGTAAAGAGGTCCTTCATCTTACATGAAAGGAAAAACAATACATATGATAGGATTTCTCTTTTAAAGCTACCTGTGTTAGCAGATACAAAGAGTAAGTCCAATAAAGATACATTCCCAACTTAAAAATATTTCCAGGGATAAGAGGAAAGGTAACTGTCCCCCTTTTTAAATTTTGCATGCTTGTTTATTTTGAATTAAACACAAAATAAGTCTTCTGTTGTTTAAAAAGTACAAGAAAGAAAATCAACTATCTGAAAAAGTATGTTTGGGGAAAATTAAATACTGTGAGTCCCTCTGGCCCCTCAAACACTAGAAGAGCTACATAACTCCTGGCCGTAAGACAGCTGCTTCAGCACACCAATTAAGTCAAGGTTCGCATTTCATTTTCCTAAATGTTTGAAAACTCAAGATTCATCTCCGAATGAAGGCCTATAACTAAAAATAAGGGCAAGGAGTAGGTGGGGTGATGGGTGAGATAAAGGAGTAATATTAAAAATACATTATCAGGGGCGCCTGGGTGGCTTAGTCGGTTAAGCGTCCGACTTTCGCTTAGGTCATGATCTCGCGGTTCGTGGGTTCGAACCCCGCGTCGGGCTCTGTGCTGACTGCCAGCTCAGCCTGGAGCCTGTTTCAGTCTGTGACTCTCTCTCTTTCTGACCCTCCCCTGCTCACGCTGTCTCTCTCTCTCCTAGAAATAAATAAAACATTAAAAAAAAAAAAAACATTATCATGGGGGCGCCTGGGTGCCTAGTCGGTTAAGCGTCTGACTTTGGCTCAGGTTATGATCTCACAGTTTGTGGGTTCAAGTCCCGCGTTGGGCTCTGTGCTGACAACTAGCTCAGAGTCTGGAGCCTGTTTCAGATTCTGTGTCTCCCTCTCTCTCTGACCCTCCCCTGTTCATGCTGTCTCTCTCAGAAATAAATAAAACATAAAAAAATGTTATATTAAAAAAAAGAATACATTATCATGATAAGCACTAAATAGTGTATGCAACTGCTGAATGTGGTATTGTGCACCTGAAAATAATACTGTACATTAATTATACTTAAATTTAAAAACATTTCCAAACCCTTAAAAAAAAAAAAAAGGCAATGTAGAAATGAAACAAGTAAGAGCTGTCTAGAAATAATTTTTAAAAATATCTTAAGTCCGAATCTCAGGAACCATCTTTCTAAACCACTATTTCAATCCCCAATCACTGTTGAGTATTGCTTACGTTCTAGTAGGTAATATGTTAATCTAGTTTATTTCCACCCATTCACCCGTGTTAAGGATTACTAAACTCTGATCCTCTGAGACAAGGGAATATTGCGTTACAGATCAGGGTAGCCCTCTGAGACCATTCCAGAAACAGAAGATCTAATAATGACTAGTTTCAATGGCAAGAGTTAATTAAATCCACCGGCAGAACTCTGCAAATGAATCATCGGATATAACAAAAATTGCTTCCCTTCCCTCTCCATCTTCCTGCCTTAAATAAACCAAACAGTTCAATTTAATTCATAGAAGCTCTTTCCTCTGACAAGGAAATGAGTAGCTTTAAAAGGAACAACTCTAATCTACCCCAGGACAAGGAAGAGAAACCATTTAACAATTAGTTTCTATAGGTAACAGTGGATCAAGAAAGCATGGAGCCCTTGGATTTTAATATTAAAACCATGCAAATTTAAGATTAAAACTTCCCCACTCCCTACATTATAAGGTCAAAGACCACTTAGCACACAAGTTACTAGTATCCCACATCTCCTGCTTCAAAGCAGGGGAAGGGAAGGCAGGATCAGACATCGCTGTGTAGGTAGAGGGGGCATGCAACCACCACTAAACACAGATCCTTTTGGTTCTGCAGGAGTAAGGAGTCAGCTAGTTCCACACAGGCATGGTGCCTATGATCAATATGGATATCCCCTTAATCCTAAGGGAACAAACATACATAATCAAGATATACGCAGCACCATAGCTGTACTTTCAGAAAAAGACTGCTTAATTCGTAGACCACATAAAATAAAGTCATTTTCCTTACTAAATTTAAAAAACAAAATAGGGCCACCTAAGTGTCTGACTTCGGCTCAGGTCATGATCTCATAGTTTGTGGGCTCAAGCCCTGTGTCATGCTCTGTACTGACAGTTTGCTCAGAGGCTGGAGGCTGCTTCAGACTCTGTGTCTCCTTCTCTCTCTGCCCCTCCCCCGCTCATGCTCTGTTTCACTGTTTATCCAAAATAAATAAATGTAACCAAAAAATTAAAAAAGAAAAAAAGGTAAAAAAAAAAAAAATAATCCAGTCATCTCCATTAGCTGGTCCAAGGCCAAAATTTCCATACCCTGTTGTGTACAATGACACAGCCACTTCTCTCCAGTGCACTAACTATAGCAGCCACTGTACTGTCCCAGAGACGTGCTAGTGCACTTTACAGAACAAGGTGAGAACAGTTTACTACTAAACTTCTTGAGTCAAAATATCCACGTACAGCCTAACAGGATGGTTAATAAAGCAAATCAACATATAATGCACTGAAGCTTTTCAATTGAAAGAGTATCTTAGATATATTTTAAGGGCATTAAACATAATTTACATAACAGTGATTTCATTCATTTGATAAATATGAGAGCCTTCTACCTATCAAACCATGTGCTTAACACTGGAGTTACTGTCATAAATAAAAACACATAGCTCCTGCTTTCTACTGCTGCAAATCTGGCTCTCATGTTTAATGGACAATCTCCAATCTCTTAAAATTTGCATATTAAAACTATCCAAATAACATCTTAAAGAATAAGCCAATCCAACCACATGGCTTAATCATGGGATAAATCTGGACTATAAGCTGAATGATTCTTTACCAACACAAAACAAGACTGAAAAACTACATCTGTACTGGACCCAGAAAATTACTTCCAAAAACTCTGAAGGCAGGTATCACTGGGGGGGGTGGGGGGGGGGTGGAGACACAGATAGTGGAGTAGAGAACAGGCAAGAAGTGGGGCGCCTGGGTGGCTTAGTCGGTTGAGCGTCCGACTTTCGCTTAGGTCATGATCTCGCGGTTTGTGGGTTTGAGCCCCGCGTCGGGCTCTGTGCTGACTGCCAGCTCAGAGCCTGGAGCCTCTTTCAGTCTGTGACTCCCTCTCTCTCTGACCCTCCCCTGCTCACGCTGTCTCTCTCTCTCCTAGAAATAAATAAATAAATAAATAAATAAACATTAAAAAGAGAACAGGCAAGAAGTGGCCCTTTTATTTGCCAGTGCCTCCCTCATCAGAAGTGGATTAGGTATCATTTGTTTTCCATTCATGTGTGCAAATTTGAAATTCTCTTTGAGATTAAGGTTTTGCCTCAGATTTATATAAAATGAACACTAAAATATCAAATCACAAGGTTTTTCCAGATTCCCAAGTACTGTACAAGGAAGAGTCATAGCCACACTCAGAAGGATACCTAGTACCAGAACAACTTACTGTTATTAAGATTCAAAGGGCAAAATATTAACATCCCCTGCAGCCTCACAAATACTCACTTAGACTGAGTCTGTTTGGTAATGTTCCGAATGGTGGCACCTTCTTTTCCTATGATGGCTCCAACAAACTGGGTGGGGACCAGCAGTCGCAGAGGCAAGTCACACGGTTTTTGCTTGGAGATGGATCCAGGAGACCCCTGCCTCGATGAGCCCCTCTGCCCAAATCCACGGCGACCCCGGGGCTGCTGTGAGGGGTTCTGCTGGGCAGCCATTTCATCAGGGATATAAGCCACTTTCAACGTGAAGCTCTCCAATTGGAATCCATTTAGTTTGTCTAAAGCTCTGGAAGAAGAAAACAAGCAGGGTATGGGAAGAGAAATTGAGCTATATATAAACCTTTCAGCAAAGCAATACTCCTCTCTTTTCACTTGGGTTACTAGTTCTAAAACTTCTGAATAAAGCCAGTGATCAAGCAGCAAACCCCTAACACATATAATCCAACCCCCAAACACACACACACAGATACGCACGTGCGCAGAAGACCAAGCTTCCAAAGAGAACATATTTGCCTCTTACCAATGAAAAATAGAAAATAAGAAAGCTTAATCAACAGAGTTTGATTAAAACTATTACCCATGAGGTTAGTAACAGCTTATGAGTAACCTAAACAGCAAGAGGAGTGGATAGTCTTTGTCTTGTCTCGTCTTTCCAAATCAGAATGGAAAAGATGTTAGAAATATGTATGTGCCCCCCACTTCACCTACTTGAAAAATAAAAATATTAAAACATTTTAAGAACTAAAGAACAAATTTCCCTAAAGCACTCATGGGAGATGCAGAGAAATTAATCCTCAGGATAATCAATCAGTCAATAAATTCCCAGTAGTTCATGACCAAGTCTCTGAGAAAAAAAGTAGTCCCTGACTCTGTGGAATTTATGATCTGATTTGGGGCAGACAGGCAGGGGTGCTGGTGAACCAAAAAACCAAAAAACAAAAAACAAAACAAAAAAAAAACAAACGAAGCTATTTTCTACTTTATCTATCCATCCGTGCATCCATTTACCCACCCATCTTTCTATTTTGAGAGGAGCTCTACTTTTTTCTTCATTTTCAACCTTATTACTGAAAAGTACCCAATCTTAGGCATATACCTCAAGGTGAACGTACATATCCAGATCCAGAACTAGGATATACCAATGCCCCCAGATGCCCCACCAGGGCCTCTTGTCAGTAATTTCCCCTCCCCTAGATTTCTAACACCATAGATTAATTCTGCCTGTTTTAAAATTCTATACAAATAAGTATATATGAGTATATGTTATGTACTTTCATGTCTCGCATCTTAGAAGACTCATCTACATTTTTGTGTTGTACCTTATCTACCTATTTTCTAAGTGGATAACTCAACAAAAAAATTGATAGAGAAGATATGGCCAAGACTTCAAAAGCATACATAAATACTCCTAAGAATACACACTCCCCAGTACACAACAAAATTAAAAACAAATAAAGATCCCACACTTTCTCTAGGGTTACTCAAATTCTTTCCTCAGATTCTGTCCCAATGAGCATGGAGTTCAGCCCCAGCAAGGAAAGAAAAATAGGCATGAAGCAGTTTCTCTCTAGTTGCCCACAGTGGTCATTTCTGGTTCATATACTGTCTTCCTTATTTGCAGATTTAGTTTCTGCCTTGGATGGAAAGGGGGCGAAGGCGGATAATCCTAGCACCAAAAAGGGCACCAGAAACACGGAATCGCAAGACAGGACTAGGCAACCAAACAAGGCATGATGTTCTCAGGACCCAGAATTCTGCCCTCTGTTCTTACTTGAATCCCCTGTTGCAGAGCTATCCTACAGTGTCTAGCACATGAGTGAACTCCTAAGAGATCACGATCAAACAGAAAAAGAAAAGTCACAAGAACTTTGTCCCCATCACCACCCCCCCAAGACACTTCCCAGAATCATTAACTGTGATAACATCTGCAAATGGACTAGCACTTTCCATATGTTTACACATGCATATCCATGTTCAGTGCCCTCTTTAAAAGTGTAACTGAACCTGAAACTAATGTAACATGGTTAATCAACTATACTCAAAATTTTTAAAAATAGGTAAAAATTTCCAGTTTTAAGATAAATAAGTACGAGGGGTATAATGTACAACATATTAACAGTTAACTCTGCTTTTGGTGTATTTGAAAGTTGTTACAGAGTAGATTCTGAACATTCTCATCTCAAGGAAAAACGTTCTCTTTTGTGTGTGGGATGACAGAGGTTAACTAATTTACAATGGTAACCATTTCTTAATATATCTACGTCATTGTGACCTACACCTTCAACTTACACAGCGCTGTAGGTCAATTATTTCTCAATAAAACTGGTAAAGACGACAAGCTGTGAATTATACCCACAAGTACACACATATATATTTGAATACAAATAGAGGAAAGAACAGTGTGTGGCTTCTAGATTATCAATAAAACTGCATATTCATTTTTTAATTAAAAATTGCTTTAAAATATCTAAAAAGTAAGCTTCTGCACAGCCAAGGAAACAACCCAGAAAATTAATAGGCAACCAACGGAATGGGAAAAGATAGTTGCAAATGACATATCAGATAAAGGGTTAATATCCAGAATCTATAAGGAACTCACCAAACTACACACCCGAAAAACAACCCAGTGAAGAAATGGGCAGAAGGCATGAACAGACACTTCTCCAAAGAGGACATCCAGATGGCCAACAGACACATGAAACGATGCTCAGCATCCCTCCTCATCAGGGAAATACAAATCAAAACCACACTGAGATACCACCTCACGCCAGTCAGAGTGGCTAAAATGAGCAAATCAGAGAACTCTAGATGCTGGCGAGGATGTGGAGAAACGGGCACCCTCCTACACTGTTGGTGGGAATGTAAACTGGTACAGCCCCTCTGGAAAACAGTGTGGAGGTTCCTCAGGAAACTAACAATAGAACTCCCCTATGACCCAGCAATAGCACTGCTAGGAATTTACCCAAGGGATACAGAAATGCTGAGGCATAGGAGCACGTGTATCCCAATGTTCATAGCAGCACTCTCCACAATAGCTAAAACGTGGAAAGAGCCTAAGTGTCCATCCACAGATGAATGGATCAAGAAGATGGGGTTTATCTATACCATGGAATACTACATGGCAATGAGAAACAATGAAATCTGGCCATGTGTAGCCACATGGATGGACCTTGAGGGTGTTATGCTGAGCGAAATAAGTCAGGCAGAGAAGGACAAATACCATATGTTTGCACGTATAGGAGGATTAGGAGGAACTTGACGGAGGAACAAGGGGGAGAAGAAGGGCGGAAATGGTGGGGGAAAGGGAGAGAGGCAAACCATGAGAGACTCTTGAATGCTGACAAAAACTGAGGACTGATGGATGTGGGGGGGTGGGGGGGATGGGCATGGAGGAGGGCACTTTGGGGATGACCACTGAGTGTTATGTGGAAACTAATTTGACAATAAACTATTTGTAAAAAAAATAAAATAAAATAAAAAATAAAATAAAATATCTAAAAAGTAAAAGCATAATTGAAATAATTTTGTCTTGCTTTTTTCCCCAAATACAATGTATTGTAGAATATTTCTCAGTGATTTCTATTTCAGAGGACATTCTTTTCTTGAGTTTCACAGGGTGATAGCCAGTATACAGCACAACTTCTTTTATCAATGTTTTTATAACAGTACCTTAAATTAGCACATTGTTCCATCCTTCTCCCTCTCCTCTTTTTTCTTAAGGAAAATGTGGACTTAGTAACATAAAATATTTTGGTTATTTCTAAAGGATTACAGCAGCTGAGAAATTTTATGAGTATTTACAATGTAAACTTATTATAACAAGTTGGAACTGCCCAAGTTTCACAAATTAGGTATTCATTCAAACCAACTTTAAACCTTTTCAAAAGCCATGGTAAAATAGATCACTGAAGGTTCTTTCAAAAACTAAGAAAACCTGAACCCAAAGAAGGTATCAACTTTATCTATGGGCATAAAGGCAATATACTTTGCTGTAATACCCTTTCCCACTATAGAATTGAGTATTGCCAGCTTCAGAAGAAAATAAGTAAAATTGGACTGTGGAAGTAAGTCCGTAATGTTAACAAAAAAGATACAGAACTTCTTTTTGGAGAGAGGGGACCATACAGACATGGACCCGTTCTCTAATGGGGTTAAACAGAGATATATATGTAAATCACCAGCCACTTCTTAGTATAGGGCTATCTGTACTTATAGGGCACCCAAGAAATGGCTCTCAACTTAGCATAAAGTAACTTCCAAACTTCAATATATTGCTTTTGAAATGAGATTTTTCTTGGAGGGAACAAAAAAAATTCTCTCACTCAGAAAGCCAGACAGCACAGAGCTCCAGTACTTAGGGCAAAGCCTCAAACACTCCAAACTCAGACAGCTCTCAGCAGGGAGCATTCACCACATACTTTGTGTATCCGACTGTCTAACTGCCAACTAAACAGAATCCTGGACCCCTCAAACCAGAGTGCTCCAAAGCTGGACACAGCTGAAAAGGTATAGGAGTAACCTAACTACGAGCAATGGCTTCCTTATGATTAAAAATTCTAAGTGTTTGAATTTTAGGTCAACTGCTGTAGCCTTCTTTTGCCTCAAGTTTGAATTTCAGCTATGTCATCTGGTGGTCTGCCAAGTTCATGGGGCCAACATTACAATACTTTCACCAATCCAACTGTATTCATAAGATGTATAATAAACAATTATCATAATTACTCAAAACACATGTATTTCAGTTCAACAGAAGTCAAGGATGTTTATCCAGTGAGCACATTACTCAGGATCCTGTTTCCCATCATTACAAGACTCTGCTGTGATGTGGTTTTAAGGGTCATTCAAAAGGTTCTAAGTAGTTTCGCTAGCTGGTAGCACTCAACTGTATTGATAAAAAGTTTATTGGGGTGGGTCACAGCACAGGTCTGAACGGACCATGAAAGAGACACTAAGTAGTTTAAGTCAATGATGAGGAAGAGAGAAAGAAGAAGCTCAGAGAAGTTAAACTTGTCTAACGGTAAATGCACACAGTTCTGAGTACTAAAAAAGATGAACCAGGGACCAGAATTCTAATTTCAACTTGAACATTAAGTAGCCAAATAAGCTTGGGAAGGTTTTTTTCTTGTTTGGCATTAGCCTCCTCACTGACAAAACTAAAAGATTAGATTTACAATCTCTTTCAACTCAAAAATTCCAGACCTCACTATTATATATCACAAAGTTCCTTAAAAATGAGGATTAGCCATTATCAAAAAGTCACACAGTTCTGTTCTCTCCCTGTAGGAAGAATGAAAGGTTCAGACACAATTCATCAATAATTACTACACTTTCAGGCATCTGGGTGGTTCAGTTGGTTAAGCATCCAACTGTGGCTCATGTCAGGATCTCACAGTTTCCTAAGTTCAACCCCAGCATTGGGCTCTGTGCTGAAAGCTAAGAGCCTGGAACCTGCTTTGGAGTCTTTGTCTCCCTCCCTCTCTTGCCTCTTATTCGTGCTCACGCCCTCTCTCTTTCTTTTATCCAGAATAAATCTTCTATTTACATAATTTTCATAGTTTAAGGATAAATTTCCTCCCCCTTAGCCATCATCAGTCACATTACTTCAAAAACTCCTTCAAATGGATGTAATAAAGCATCTTCAATGACAGCTTCAAACTACAAACAGCCTGTATTCCTATTCCCTAACTAACAAATAAACATCAGAAATAAGAACCCTGGAGGTACCTGGGTGGCTTAGTTGGTTGAGCATCCAAATATTGATTTTGGCTCAGGTCAGATCTAGAGGTTCATGAGTTCAAGTCCCACATCAGGCTCTGCACTACTCTCTCTTTCTCTCTGCCCCTCCCCTACTCCTGTTCTCTATCTCAACAACAACAACAAAACAAAAAAATCCTAAAGAAAAGAAAGCATAAGAACGAAATGCCTACAAATTCTCAAGCGTTATTTTTTTTTCGGTCACACATTACAAACTTTCCAACATGTAAGGCCTGTCCTTGACTGTGTTATCTAAATGTCCCCAGAAGACAGAAGGAAATAGGTGATCTAGAGACCTAGCCTATCTTACTCTGAGAAACCAGAAATACTAAAATATGTGCTTCTGTTTTTAATGATTATAAGTTTTCCTTGTTTTTCACCCATTTAAAAAATTAGTTTAACAAATTAGTATTTTAACACTTAAGATTAGAACAAATATATGTATTTCTTAGTAATTTATTTATTATTAATGTTCATGTTTCTAAGCCATAAGGTGGTAGAAATTTCCATGTTGAATTTTTAGAGACACAGCCCCCCCCCCTTTTTTTTTGTTTATTTTTGAGTGACAGAGAGAAAGTTAGAGCACAAGCAGGGGAGGGGCAGAGAGAGAGGGACACACAAAATCCAAAGCAGGCTCCAGGTTCTGAGTTGTCAGCACAGAGCCCGACATGGGGCTTGAATCCGCAAACTGTAAGATCATGACCTGAGCTGAAGTTGGCTGCTTAACTGACTGAGCCACCCAGGTGCCCCAGAGACACAGCCTTATTGAAGAATCCTCTTAAAAGTGGCAACCATAGAGCTCTAAGTAATAAAGAGACAGCCACAAACATTTTTCAACTAGGATGTGAATTCCTGAGTATTGGTGGCCACTCTTTATCCAGAATGCGGTATACTATATAGGATATTATCAGCAGCAATGAAAAATGTTAGGAAACTGCTTAATAGCTGCTATCTTTAGAGCTCTTACTACCTTTTAGGTATTATCCTAAATGTTCTGGAGGCATTCTGTTGGCTTCTCTCAACAGCTCATAATGAGCTGTTGAGAGAAATTATCCCCATTTTGTAAGATGGGGGTGAACCAACACAGATTAATCTGACTAGAGCCACAGCAAAAAAAAGCGGTGGGGCACAGTCCATTCTACGTAACGGGACTCCAGAATATATCCCCTTAGCCTCCGTGCTCTACTCATACCTGCACAAGCACATCCCAGTTACATGGACTCCCAAGTAACAGATGATAAGGAAAGAAGTCAAATGAGATTATCAATTCAGCTCCCATTACCTGAAGGTGTGAGCTTCAGATGGCTGCCAAGGAAAGGGGGGTGGAGAAATCACACAGGCTAGTTTAAGTGGCAGATAGTCAAGCTGGAGCCCAGAGAGCAGGCAGTCAAGCTGGAGCCCAGAGAGCAGGCAGTCAAGCTGGAGCCCAGAGAGCAGGCGTCCAGGGTTCAGTGGGGCAAGTCCTACAGGGACCAACCTTCCCCAGCTCAAACCACTTCAAGCTGCTCTAGAAGCAACCCAGAACCAGAGGGTTGAATGTAAGGTCCTGTTTACTGGGTGCTTATGTGCCAGGCCATTTGATGAGACCATTTTCTGTAAGTATGTTGTGTATATACATGAATATATTTCGTTTTTGTCAACTTTTAATTTGCAGCTGAGAAAACTAAAGATCAGAGAGGCTAGGTTATAGTCAGGGTTCTCTGACCTCAGAGTCCATACTTTCTCCATTACATCCAACGTCTCTCAAATAAAATTAATTCTCCTCAAAGAATGAGAATGTACTCCACATCTTTTTTCAAAACTTACTGAAGAAGTTTAATGGACAATTTTCATAACATTGCTTCACAGAATTGGTTTTGTCAATTTTTAAAATCTATTAACTTTCTCTGAACACAATTGTTTTCTAATTCTCTTTAATTTCAGGAATTCTTGATGGGGAGAAAACCCAATATCCTTATAAGGAAACTCAACTTGGTCAGGAATTAAAATCAGGTGATACCTCCCCATTACTTTCATCACAGGGAGGCACATCCTTGAGGTCAAGAACTTTGAGTTTTTTCATTCATATCTTTTGGTCAATAGCTGGTAATCAATAAATGTTAACTGATAAACATTAGAATAAGGGATGTGATGATGACTTCCCTCATTGTAATGCCCAATTTATTTGTTTAGGTTACTTCACTACCTACATTACAATTTCCTAACCATCTTTTCCTCCCTCAGAATCAACCAGACCCTGCCAATTTCAAATAATGACTACCAAGTACCTTTAGACTAAAAAATGTCTCCACATTCACACTGGTGTCCTGTTAGGATTAATGTCTGCAGTAATTCTGCCTTGACTTAACAGTCTACACTTCTTGTACTTGTACTCTCCTTAATGAGTTGGAATTTTTTTTAAGGGGGAGGGGAGTGTTAAATGTCAACCTGTCTCTACTTAAGTTCCTTCCTCAAAGCTATGTAAGTTAAGTCTCCTTATAGTTAAGGAACTGCTGGGGCACCTGGGTGACTCAGTCGATTAAGTGTCCAACTCTCAATTTTGGATCAGGTCATGATCTCACAGTTAGTGAGATAGAGCCCTGAGAAGGGGTCTGTGCTGACAGCATGAAGCCTGCTTAGGATTCTCTCTCTCTCCCTCTTTGTACTCTCTAAACAAATAGATTCTGTGTCTCCCTCTCTCTCTCTGCCCCTCCCTTGCTCACAGTCTGTCGGTCTCTCTCTTAAAAATAAATAAACATTGGGGCGCCTGGGTGGCTCAGTCAATTAAGCATCCGACTTGGGCTCAGGTCATGATCTCACAGTTCATGGGTTCAAGCCCTGCGTCGGGCTCTGTGCTGACAGCTAGCTCAGAGCCTGAAGGCTGCTTTGGATTCTGTGTCTCCCTCTCTCTCAGACCCTCCCCTGCTTGCGTGCTCTCTCTCTCTCAGAAATGAATAAAAACATTTAAAAAGTAATTTTTTTTAGAAGACTGAAATACAGAAGACAAAATGGGGCTTCTTCGTTCTTACTGCCCTCACTTTGCAAAATGCCTCAAGTGACTTTCCTGTTTTTCCCTTACATGATATAGTTCAGGAAAAAGTTTTAAAATTTGTATCATCATTTCTATAGTATCCAAACACCTCCTATAAACTTGAATTTTTTGAAATGAATGAAGGATACAAACAGAAGTGGAAAAAAAAAAGCTTTGCGCAGTGGCAGTATCATAGCCAACGAGGTTTATCTGAGGCGCGATTATTGCTAATTGAAACAAACAGAAGTAAAAATAGTATACTTTTAAACATATCCAAAGTTTCATTATTAAAACATTAAACGTAAATCCCCTAGATCAGCAAAGTCTGATGAAGCCCCATGTTAGGGAGAATAAAGAGAAACGGACTTTCATAGTGCTGATGAAAATTTAAAGCAGTTCAAGCTCTATGAAGGCTAACTTGCCAGTTTTAGTATCCAACAACAAAAAAGAAGGTACATACATCCTGGCTTAGTAAATCTAATTCCAGGAATTTAACCCGATAGGGATATTCACAAATACGCAAAATGACATGCAAAAAGGGATTCACTACAGTACTGTTTGTAACTGCTAAAAATTTAATAAACAACTTAATATCCATTTGGGGACTAAGTCATTCCATATCCATACAGTCAAATTCTAAGGTATCATGTGTGCAAAAAGGAGGAAATATACACACATCTGTCTTCTGGGTAGTTATCTCGGAGGAAGGGAACAAATACTGGGAGGAAGATTTGTACTGTAGACATCTTTGCATCTAAAGCTCCATTTGAGTTATGCAAATTTCCATCTCCTCCCCAGCCTCACCTTTCCTTCCATAATCCCTCCCTGAGTGGGTACTGTTTTTGGTAACCTGGCTCTATTTCCGCCCTTTCAGGTGGTTTCACCTTTTTCTTTTAGGGCTCAGGGTCAGCCAGCATGGTCTTTCCTCTCACCTTTCCACCCAGAGACAACAGGCAGTCTGTTCCTGCCTGTACTGTGTCTGGAGGTGGCTAAGACTTCCATGGTCTACTGATGCTCAGCACCTTGCTATTGGTTCTTTGTGTGCCAGTCCTCCATTTTTGTGCTTGGAGTAGCTCTATCCAAGGCAAGGCAGTGTTTGTGCCTTGTTCCTCTTTTCTCTAGTGCTCGGTCACTTCATTAGATCATTCCCAAGCCTACAGAATTAGCTTTTCTAGGGAAGATTTTTTGATCTGCAAAATTCTGCCTCTCAACTGCATTGGAAGATATTTTTCAAATTGAAAAGAATATTTCATTGATCCAAAGTCTGCACACTCCTAAATTATAATTGTCATCAATAAAAAAAAAAATCAGTGACCAAGAAACTTAACATTAAACACTGGTGGTAGTTAACACATGATCAACTTACCAGGTTTACATAAAATAGCAATAATTTATGTATCGTACCAAAAAGTCTTTATGTAATTTGGCAAGGATACCCAGGCCAAGAGCTTTTGGCAAATAGGATGTAATGCAGCCTCATACAATATCACTCTATTATTGCCATTAAAGACATATTCAAAATGTAATAAAACTTTACTAATGCAGATTCTTATTAGACATTCAATTCCAGGGTCAAACTTTGCAAAATAAAATATATTTCTACTACCCGACAGCCCAAAATATAAGCACTAAACTTAACCTAGTCATTATGTATAGATTAAAAGTTTCAAACTGCTTACTGTCTAGCTTGGTCCTTACTGGAATAGGTTACATTTACGACTGCAGTTTCCGAGTCAGTGTTCACTAGAGGAAGAGAAAAGTGAAGAGAAAAAAGTTAGTTTTATTTCTATTTCCTTCCTTTCAAAAATTTGAAAGCAATTGAGAAGACATGTACCTTGCTCACAGCTTTCCACCACTCCATACTGGACTAGTAAACTATCCAGCACCTATCAGGAGGGGGAGAAAAAATTACAAATTTTCAATTTCCCAAGTTATTAACAAGGGCAGAAATAGGTTTTAAAATCACAAAGTAATTGTGATGGAGAAGAGCCAAAAAAAATTAACTAGTTTTGGGACTCCAGAAGCAAGGAAAGGGCACCATACAAAGTACATAGTGGGCTTCTCTCTCCTGCCTACTTCCAGATCCTGACTTTAAGCTCATTTCCTTTGGTGAAACAAGTTAAGTGGCTCCGCAAAGTGTTTGAAGCCATAACCGCCTGATTCCTAAGGCTGGAGGAGAAAGAAGCATGTAATTCTCATACATTTATCAATACATCATCATTTGAGACAAAGCCCCAAGTTAAATTTTATCTTTAAAATGTTCCTTTTCAAAGAACTTCCTTTTACAGCTACGATGGGAATATCAGAACAGACTACTCTCAAGGCAGACTGGTGATACGAAGAGAATAGTTGATCTTCTACCTGGAGTTTTAAAGGTTAACCTGAATGACCTGAAATTAATTTAACACTGTTGGAAAATGTACAATTTGAAACTGTCTATGTTTTTTACCATTTCTCCTGTAGTTGTATTATACTGTGCATGTTATTCTAAGAGAGGTTGTTAAAACAGTAACTAAGTTCTTTTATAGTATAAAATGTAGATGTATATCTCATTGTCTCATCAGTATAAACCAAACCTGAGTGTCCTTAGCTTCCAAGAACTGTAGAAAGTCTTTCCTGAAAAGTAAAACGTTTACATTTATAGTGAACCACTTACTTATCAACTTAATTGCAAAATTAAAGGACAACACCTTCAGAATGTCTTCTGCCTCCAAGAATAAACCATTAAGAAACACATTAAATACACTTTTATGTTAATTCCCAACTAAACTTTAAGCAATTTTTTCTAAATGAATGCTCATCTCATGTGCTATCTTTCAGGCATTTACTTTTGTCTATGGATTCCAGTTTGAAATTTATAGCAAGGTTTGTCTGGGGGTGAGCTTTAAATTGTTTTCCCCATTTTAGAATAGGGTTAAGTGCCTATTTGTGAATGGAATAGTTACCTATTTTTATACTGCAGTTTTGATATGGTGAATTTCCTTTCAGTGGGGCTTATCACAGAAGCACACTAATCTGTCTCTAATTATAGCTATTGTTAAATAATAAAGCTCAATTTTTTTATTTTTAATTCAGAGTACTTAGCTGACTACATAAAATTTCATTTGTTGGGTCTTGGCCACTAAAATGTATGGTCCACATCAACGGGAATTTTTTTTTTATTATCTCCAGTACCTAGAATTGATCACACAATTTTAGAAAGGCAAAAAAAAAAAAAAAAAAAAAAAAGGAAACATCTCACAATGCTATCCAAAGAGGTAATAAGCAACACACAATGGCTTTGAAAACCTTTTTTAAAACAACCTATTTATAATTTTAAATCAGAAATTTTTCAATACCAAAAAAATTTTGGTCAGTTAACAGAATTTTAACAAGGCACTTTAAGTAAAGCAGCAAGAAATGTACATCCACTATTTAAGATTTAGCTTTTAAGTGGAAGGCACTCTAATATTTAAGATTTATAGTTGATTTATGTTGAAGGGCAGGGTTGAAGGTGCAGATGTTGCTGGTAGTGATACACAAAGGAAGTAGGCATTAGGAGTGAATACCTATTTAATGTTAATTTAAATAAACATCATTCTTAATTCTTCCTAAAAACAATTTGTTCATTAATACATTAGTCTCCACATAGTTTAGCTTATACCACGTTAACTTTCCTACTATACATATATACCTACACATATTTATATCTAAATACAGAATATATACAAATACAAAGGCATAAAATAAATGATACAATTTTTTACTTAAAAAATCAAGGAAACAGACCTCAAAATTTTCAATGCATATATTATAAGAAGCATAATATGTTGAAAACAAAATTGCTTGGGGTCATCTGGCTGGCTCAGTTGGTAGAACATGCAAGTGATCTCGGGGTCATAAGTTCAAGCCCCATGTTGGCTGTGGAGTTTACTACTAAAGGGGAAAAAAACCCCAAAAAAAAAACAAAAACCAAACCAAAACAAAACTGCTTATAGTTGCACCTTCTATTGCTATAATAAATGCTACTGGTTGTCAATGATGTGAAAAATCTCTATAAAAGTAATTAGGAACTACAATCTACTAAAACTAGTCAACTTTATTATATGTAAATTATACTAAACTTAGTGAGTTTATTGTATGTAAATTATACTTAAATAAACCTTACTCTAAAAGTCAAAATAATTTCAGTCCTTAAAAACAAAACCAATCAGGGGTGCCTGGGTGGCTAAGTCACTTAAGCATCAGCTCTTGGCTTCAGCTTAGGGTTTCGTGGGTTGGAGCCCCTCTTCTGGCAGCTACCACGAGGGCTCCCTCCCTCTGTCTTTCTAACCCTTTCCCACTCAACTGTCTCTGTCTCTCTCAAAATAAATAAACTTAAAAGAAAAACAAAAACCAAAAACAAACAGGTCCAGCATTAATAAGAAGTACTCAGTTAAGAAACAAGTTAACAACACAACCTGAGGCTGGATTTCAACGGGTCTTTGTTGTTTTAATTCAAAGCTCTATACACAAATGTTGGGGGCTTATCACAAGTGAAAGATGGAGGAAGGACTGTTAACAGCCCAATCAGATTCCCAAATCCCCAAAGGGTTTCCATGCCCCAAATGATAAGGCAGTGCTATAGGAACCGGTTTTCCTTGACTATTAAGTAGTCATTTGTCTGAATGTGCTATGTCAAGCAGGACTACCGAATTCTATCATGCCAGTCCAACCCACTCAAAGAGCAAATACAACTTACCCCTGATAAGTTCTGACATTCTGATTCATCCTGCATTAACTAGGAAGACAGACGTTCCTGTTATCTGTCACCGAAACCACCCACTCCCCTAGGTTCTGGTCTCTTCTCAGTTGCTTAGAACATCTTCTATTTTCTCTCTCTCCCATCTATTTCAGCTACAGATGTTTTAAATTAATTAGCCTTGTCTGAAGGTAAAAATGAAATAAAAACGTCCACTGCACATTTCCAACATTTCCACAAATCTCTTAAATTCTCAGTCCTAAATGAAATTATTTTACTCAAGCCAAAAAGGAAACATTTCTCCATGCTTCAGTAAGTTTTAAATTCCAACTGGTGGGGAAAGAAGGCATCAAAACAAATGAAAGCCCCAGGGAAAATGTCTTGGTACAATGTCCCTTTTTTATATATTTAGGACTTAAAATTCAATCTTTAGCCTTTTAAAAAGAAGTTCATCCAAATGTACAAATAGAATCTCATGATAAATGCAAAGATTATCATACAGCTGCAGAGAACGAAGATCATTTACAATTGTGTAGGGTGGAAACAATCTAAATGCCCATCACCTGATGTATGGATAGACCAAATGTAGTACAGCCACACGATGGAATAGTTTTTGGCCATAAAATGGAATGAAGTACTGACATATGCTACAACATGGATGAACATTGAAAACATGATGTTAAGTAAAAGAAGGCAGTAACACCACACACACACACACATACACACACACACACAGTGATTCCATTACTAGGAAACATCCAGAAAAGGGAAATCTAGGAGCACCTGGTAGCTCAGTTGGTTAAGCATTCAACCCTTGGTTTTGGCTCAGGTCATGATCTCATAGTTCAGGAGATTGAGCTCTTAGGAATAACTAAGATCAGTATTACTAGATAACAGCCTAGTTTGTTGTAGGTGTTTTTAGCGTTGAACAACTATAAGTGTAATAAATTGCACAAAATTTATCAGTTTTGCCATTATGTATACTCTCCTAAGACCATCACCATAATCAAGGTAAGTTTCTTCTAGTAGGCTGGTCTATTCATACACAGAATACTGAGATGAAGATAGTTGTGTCTCACACATGATCAGATTTCATCTGCCACAGCAGCACCACATCCACCACCACCACCCTTGCCCCCAACAAAATTAGGAGTCACTCCGCTAATCCCCTATGGGCATGGAGTAATTCATGCTCTGCACACAGACCTTCTGCTGACTACTTATTCTTTATACCCATGGCTCATAAGGTCCTATCAGCTCTGAACTATCTGAACTGAGAGTCTGATTGGTATCTTGCCTCCAGTCCACAACCCTGTGACTATTCTCCTGGTACACGTTACTACTCTTCAGAGACTTCAAAATACCAACAAAACTGTCACAACTTCAACATGGTATAGGAGATCACCCGTGATCTGGTGCTGCCTACCTCTTCTGTCATCTTCAGTCTACCTCCCACACACCTACTGCTCCAGTCACACCCTCAAGACTGAATAAAGCACCCTCGTTTCCATAGCACCTGAGCTCACCTAATCCTAGAAATGAAAACAATGTCACTTTATCATCTCTTCAATGCTCTTTATTCTCCCATTAGACTAGTCATTATTAACCATAGTGACATGATCATTTGTCAGGTGTGTCACAAATAAGCTTTTCCTAATGGTTAAACTGGCTTCCATGCTTAAGATATGTATGATATGTATACAACAAGAGAGTCTAAATCCTCCTTGTTTTGTCTCGTGTTTCAAAACATGAGAAGACAGTACTGGAGTCAGGGTCTAGAGTGCTCATCTCTTTTCTTAAATTGCCTCTGGAAATGCCCCCTCCACCCCCCCCCCCCCCCCCCCCCCCCCACTTCATTGTGGTTCCTCCACACAGAGCTACACTAGCCTCTTAACTTTAAAAGGAGGGGTGCCTGGGTGGCTCAATTGAGTGTCTGCCTCTTGGTTTTGGCTCAGGTCATGATCCCAGGGTCGTGAGACTGAGCCCCACATAGTACGCTGAGGGTGGAACCTGCTTAAGATTCTCTCCCCCACTCCCTTGCTCCTCTCCCTAGCCTTGTACACTCACTCTCAAAAAAAAAAAAAAAAAAAAAAAATTTTTTTTTTAAAGAAACTATATACTTGCAATAAACAGTTTAAAAAAAATTATAAAAAAGGGGACCATGTC